CCCCCCCTCCCTCGCGGCAGCTTGGCTGAGCAGGCAGAAGTCAGACAAGCGCCACGGTGGGAGGAAGAGGAAGGGGAAGGGGGGCGGGGAGAGACAGAGGGGAGAGAGAGGCAGGAGGAGGAGGAGGAGAAGAGAAAGGGAGAGTGAAAGGCAGGAGGGGGAGAAGAGAAAGAAAGAGACAAGAGAGAGAGGCTAGAGGCAGAGGAGAGCTGAGAGAGGGCAGGGGAAGCAGTAGGGAGAGAGAGAGAGAGAGCGCGCGCGCTCAGGAGAGAAGACCTGAAAATCCCGTCTTATGACGGGCTAATTGGCTAGTTGTCTGAAGATAATAAAATGGGAATGCTTTGAAGACAAGCCTTCATTCAGGACTTATTTACATGTTTCAGATAGGAGTGTGCTATGCTAGTCCTTTATTCCCTGAGGTGAGCAAGAGCATGGGAATCAGGTTGCAGTATTCCCATCTCAATCAGATTTTGGGTTACCTCATTCATGTCTTGGTCTTTCCAGGTTGCTGAGACTGGGAATTGGACAAAGCTGTTCCTGAAATTGTTACACAGTTCTACTGGGTCCCTCTTTACAATGTCCAGTGTGCTCCTTTGATCAATGTGATAGCACTTTTGCTCACAGAATTGAGAGAAATTGGCATTAATTTAGAGTCTAACTGCAGACAGCCACATGGGATGCCTTGACCCTGTTATCACTTATGAAGAGATATTTTCTCCTATTTCACAAGCTGCTTTAAATTTGTCACTAACTGTAGTCCTTTCTACAGTGTGTGGCAGGAATCAGGATCTTAAGTTGATTCTTCTGTTGATGCTAAATAGCTGCAGATTTCCATAAAGTTTATTATACCACTAAGAATAGATTTCCATCAGCATTTGATCCCAAGGATCAAATACCTGCATGAAATGTATTTGAATTGCACTTTTTTTATTCTTTTCTTTCTAGGGAGAAGTCTGCAGAACATGCAATTTTAAGCTTGCACTGCTTGTGAAAGTATACCAAGTCACTTAGGAATCAGATAGCAATCCACATGTTTTGTTTATTTCATGGTGGCCTGATGCCACCCGAGAGTTTTCATGGCCAAGGGAGGGGCTGAGATAATGCCTGTCTAGACTGGGCTACCAGTAAAGTGTCCGCCTATTGAGGAAGTCACTTTTTCAGGTAAAAATCTCCCACAATTGGAAATTCTGAGTCCCTGACCACTTTGGAAAATATGCCCACTTACCTTCAGTAAGGCTATCAAGTTAAATGTTGACCAGTGCACACAAAGGAAATGTCTGGCCTTATAGAAGTAAAGCCAGGGGAGCGTGTGGTAGAAAGAAAGACATTTGGACCAAGAGGCCCCTCAATGCCTTCCAGTTCCTTCACACTTGGGGTGCTGTTTCTTTCATTGGCTGAAGGGAAGAGGTGGAGGCGATGGTAGACATGAAAACCTGCCACCGAAGCTAGGAGAAATAACCTGGATATTAAGGCATTGTGTTCCAGAGTAGCCACAGAGAATGAGGGTCAACAGGATATGGTGACCTGCAGTGCCAGCTGAGGACAATAGCCCAAAGCTTTCCCAGACTTGTAAGTGTGGCAAGAAAACCCTATTAAAGTATCCCAGGAAACATAAGAAAGGGAATATAGATACAATTAGTTTAGGTCATATGCAGACCTCTTGAGAATAATTTCACAATGCTCAGCACACGCTTGCCTGAAAGCTCTGGTGTTAAGGTGAAAGCAAGCTGACATGCCCATTGTACCCATCTGGGGACCTTACCATGAAAGAGAAGGAATCAGATGACATTATGCTTTGTTTATATTTTTATCAAGCAAAGACAACCAGCTTCCCATTCAGGTTTCTTCCTAAAATACACACCCATGTCCCCCAGAATAGGAAGGTCTGCTTTGTCATCTCTTGACCTGTGACTAAATTCCTTGCAGCTGTCACCATGACAAAACTGATGAGAAAATGAGAGTATTCATCTTTTCTACAAATTGAGTGTTAATGAGGGGAATTTGTTGAAAAACCTCACACACTTTAAGTCATTTTCTGAAACAACAAAACTTAAAGCCTTAAAATACAGCTTCTAATTTCTGCTTTTGCCAGTAAAATGCAAAAAATATAACTTATTGGCTAACAACTAAATAACTGGCAGCACAAAATTTCTTGAAGACAAAGGTATTCTCAAAAGGTTGTTATACACTCTCCCTCTCCCTCCCCTCAAGCTGCCAGATATGAAAAACATGGTTAACACACAACCAATTTGAAAGTTCAGATGTCAGGATGAGGAATCTACCTCTTCATCATTGAATTAAGCCATTACATCAAATAAGAAACATCATAAAAATATAATCCAAAAGAGCTCTTTGTGGAATGATATTATTTTTGAAGATGCTTTCTGGAGGAGGCTGATGGAATGTATGTTATTAAATTCCTTAAATTATTCCTTAAAATGGTATCTTCAAGCATTATAAGTCTCTTGTTACTAGTGTTTCCCTCAACATGCATGCATGGCTTTTTCATTTACAGGTTTTAGATTTTTATCCTTAACATTCTGATCTTCCTGAGCTATAAGAACACAAGTTAGGGATACTCAAGGCTCACTACTCTTAACACGTGACAGTTGAGACATTATAATTTCAAATTCACTATTTAGTATCCCACAGAATTACCTATCCAATAATATATAATGCTTTCAGACATTTACAAAGTGTCCAAAAATATCTTTTCCCTTATAAAATTAATTCTATTGAAACTGTGAAGCTAGAGGAAACAGGAAAAGAGTCTGACATTAATAAACACAATCAAAAATTGTGTTGATAATTCATTCTAGATTTTTAACCATTATAAATAGGGCCCTACCAATTTCATGGCCCTGAAAAATTTGTTACAGACCATGAATAAGCCCTTCCCTAAGATCTCCTTGTTCCTAGGAGGGTCCCATCAGAGGGGGATTCTTACCCCTGTCCTGTTCTGGCAGTAGAAGCGGGGGAGGGGGAAAACCAGACCATACCCACCTCTACCTCTTAGAACCTCCTGCAGCTGCAGGAAGATCAGCAGTTGCTATTTTCAGAGTCCAGCTCTGAAGGCAGCACAGATGTGAGGGTGGAAATCCCATGATCCCACCTACACAAGTTTGTGTCCCCCTCATCTCCTTTTGGGTCAGAACCCCACAGTTACAACACCATAAAATTTCATATTTAAACATCGGAAAATGTGAAATTCACCAATTTTCAAATCTATGGCCATGAAATTGGTCAAAATGGACTGTGAATTTGGTAGGGCCCTAATTATAAAAGCAAGCATGTGGAAAGGAGAAATGGAGTCTTCATCTCTAAGACAGATCCTGAGCCAGTCTCAGTTTCAATATGGGAAACATAACACTTCACACAAAGACATGCACATGTTTAGTTTCTTAATAAATACAATAGATACAGCGCACACATGAAAATCTGAGAGCTGGAAACTAAGTGTTTCTTGTCAAGAGGAGCCAGTGTTGCCAAATTCAACATTATGGTCATTTTTGTTTGCAATGAGGAAGCTGAGGCAAAGAAAATGTTAAGTGAATTACTCAAGTCAGAGACAAAGGTGAGATCAGACACTGACTCCCACTGTTGTACACTATGCCTATTATGTGATGGTATAGTTCTTATTCCCTTTCTTACCTTGCCTTTCTGATTTAATGGTTCAATACTTAAACTGTCAGGGCCAATATCCACAATCTTCCCCATCTGAAACCCATCAGTTGGGTGTGGAGCCCAAACTGGCTTCCCGTCCTCCATCATTGGAGCTATTCACTATTCCTGTAAAAAAAAAAAAAAAAAAATCAAAATCTGACCAACTGTACAGAAACTGTACTATTTTTAAGCCAAACTCAAATTACATAAAATGAGAACATTGATTCTAGTATCAAGTATTTACACACATATGAATGCCTTCTTGATTCAAGAACTTTTACTGTAATCTTTGCCAAAATGCTCTTAGGAAACAGTTTCACATTATGTCTTGAATTCAAAATGCATTATTTGTTATTCAAAAGCACAGGCATCAGAATGAAGCACAGGCATCAGGGTGAAGATGTAAGGCCAAAATTTTCATGCTTAGATTCCTAAAGTTAGGCACCTATACAAGTGTTCAATTTACAGAGTTATTCAACCCATGCAGCAGACACTGAATTAAATAGTAATTTTTCCTGGACTCAGACTTTCTGAACAGTCCCAACACAATATGTTTGTATACTGAATTAGTCTTCATTCTGCACAGCTACTTTAATATTAGATAACCTCTAGTACATAGATTATTGATTAGATTTGTGGATTCCACTGATTCTGA